TGCTGCTGTGGGGATGAGAGAGGGGGGACTCTCTCACTCGCCGCTGGTGGCAGGGCAAATCAGTGTGCCTTTGCCCCACCGTGTCGTGGGTAAACTTTAGAGCCAGGTTCCTGGACCCTCATCCTAGCCGTGTCACTGACTTTTGGTGACACCTTGGGTGAGTTACTCTGAGCCTCCTGTAAAGCGAAGATAATGCTCATTTCTACCTCAGAGGGTTTGTGTGAGGATTGAATGAGTGAATGAGGGTGAAATATTTAGAACCATGACCGGCACTTAATTTGTGCTATAAGTGCTCAAGGAGGAGGGGACAGGCTTGCTCATTGCGGCACTGCGAGCAACAAGAAGAACTGGAAGCAACCAATATGTTCATCAAGATGGGCATGGCTTCATCAGCTGTGCACCGGCACCCTGCAGAATGCCACGCAGTGAAAAAGACCAACGTGGATGCTTCTATAGGACTGTGGGAAGAGCTTCCAAACACATTATTGCATGGGGGAAAAAAAGTGAGTTGCTGAACAAGTCATACAGTATCCTTAAGCTCCCACAACGACACCTCCCAATTAGTATATTTTCCCCAGTTAATACACATGTGATGCAGTATCACTGGGGAACTACTCCCAATGTAACACTAACGGTGGGGACCTCTCAGAGAGGGAGTAGAGAATGAGAATGGGGAGTGGATGAAGGGATTTCATCTTACCTGCAATATTCTTTTTATTTCCAAGGAGAACGTGTCTATGTACCACTAAACATTAATGGACAAAACTGGTGAACACTTTTTGAATGATGTTATATTCCAAGAAAGAGTGAAAGAAATGATTTGAAAATTCAAAAAAGATAAAGAGATAAAAGGAAGAAAATGAAGGGGTTGGCATACAGGGAGTTTCTGCGGTGTCTGCAAAGCTCTATTCCTTGACCTGGGTGATGGTTACATGGGTTCAACTTAGAGTAATTTAAGTTGTACACTTATGGTTTTTATATTTTTCTATAGGCATGTTATTTTTCATGATTTCAAACAATTTTTACAAGAAGTGAATGGAGTTAGCTGGCCGCCCCACAACAAAGTAAACCTGGGGATTCAGCACTGGGGGACTGAAATGGGTAATCAAGGACCCAGAGTGTCAGAGGAAGAGGGGCAACAATGTCTGTCCCAGGCCCACCTCCCTACCCTCTGCCCCTGCCCAACTCATTACCAGCCTGCAGGGTTGAAGTCTGAGGAGCGGGCTGGAGTTCTGGTTGGACGGTGTCTGGAGTCCGGAAACAGGAAGAGAAAAGAGAGAAGATGCAGAGAAGGTGCATGGATGGAGGTACAGGGGGATTTCCATAGCAACTCAAATTTGATGTCATGGAAACGAATTAATCCAGCCATTTGCTAACTGCCCAAATGGGATGCCAGTATCTCCCTGGCCTCAGGCCCTCCCCTCCCACAGATGTCTTTTCCCCTACTCAGCACCCACCCGCGTCTGGTAAGAGCCCCCTGAACATCCTTTGGGGAACCATCCTTCCCTGACTGTCAGTCCACTTGGTTCAATGGGCCTGGCACCAGCCCTGTTGGAAGTTAAACACGAGACCCAGGTCTGGCCAATGAGTTTTCTATGCCTGTGGCCACAATGATCAGCTCACAGGTGGGTGTGTGACCTGAGCCTGGTCAATGACACTCAGTTCTGGGGCATCTGCTGGATTGGGGAAGGGGAAATTCTCTTTCCTCTGGATTCTTAGCAGGTAGGATAGAAGCTCCAGGTCTCTATGGGCCATCTTTGCTCCATAAAAGGAGAATCTGCCTTAAAATGAAGCCATCACAGAGAAAACAGAACCAGGAGATGAAGACACGTTCCTGATAGCATAATTTGAGCCTAGATGGAGCCACGCCTGAAGGTTTACCCCTGGACTTTTCAGTTACACAAATCCAAACAATCCCTTTTGGTCCAAGTTTGAGATTTTTGTTGCCATTGTTATTTGCAATGACAGGATCTTGACAGACCTGTCCCTCCTTCCTCACCTGGGGCTGGAGTCAGGGCATGAACGTTCTCAGTGACTGGGTCTGCTAGAGTAATGGATGTGGCCTCCTCCAATGTCTGTCCTGGGAAATCAAGGATGAGAAGTCAGGGAGGAGCCTCTGGTCCCCCTTCTCTCACCGAAACCCCTACCCTGCCCTCCCTCCTGAAACTTTGGGGGATAACCAGGAAGTCCTGTCTGCTGGCGGAGCAGCAGACAGATGTGTGATTGATCAGCTTTTGCGGAAGTGTTTTAAGAAATGTTAATACCCCAGCACCCTACCTGCAGCTGCCTCTCCCTACCCATCCTTGTGGGGTGAGAGAGGCAGTTTAGCCTAGGAGCCCAGGTGCTAGACTCAGCCAGGGCCCTGATCTCAAAATCTGTTCCCAATAACTTCCTTGCTGTGTGTCCTGGAGCAAGTGAAGCCCCTCTCTGAGCCTCGACTGCCTCATCTGCAAAGTGGGGATAATACTTGAATCTACTACTCAGGACTGTAGAGAGGGTGAAATGAGATGGAGGTCTCCCGCACTGCTTAACATGCAGTCAGAGCTGGACAGAGCCACTGTCCCCTACCCTGGCCCAGCCTCCATGCTCCCCCTCCTGGACCATCACACAACCTCCTCCCTGGTCTCCCTGCTCCCATCCCGCCCCTACAGTCTGCTCCCCACACACAGCCAGAGGGAGCCTGTGAACCCCTGAGTCAGATCAGGGCCCTCCTCTGGCTGCATCTCACTCCTAGTAAGAGCCAAAGTCCTCATCTGGCCCATAAGTACCCCCTCCACCCGGTCCCCTGTCACCTCTCTGACCTCTCCTCTTACCACCCTGCCCCTTCCCACCCTAACCCTAGCCCAAACCCGAACCCGAACACTGGCCTGCCTGCTGTCACTCACATTCTCCAGACAGCACTCGTTCCTTACATACCTGCTTGGCTTGTTCCCTCCTCTCCTTCAAGTGTCTGCCCAAATGTCACCTTCTGGTGAGGTCTTACCTGATCACCCTATTTAAACAATCCTCATTTCTCTCCTCTGTTTTTCTCTATAGCACTTTTCACCTTCTAGCATACTATATAATTTACTGATATGTCAGTTACTGTGTGTCTTTCCAACTAGCATGTGAGCTCCTGTTTTATGCAGTTGCTGTTTCCCCAGTGCCTAGAATAGGATCTGCTCAGTGAACGCTTGTTGAATGACTGAATGAACACAGGAAACCCATTTTATCAAAGAGAAATGGGGCAGCTTCAGTGCAGAGTTTGCTCTGGGTTCCAGGGTTGTAGCCCAGCCCCTCCACTCACTAGCCTCTGGCACAGGGCACTTTCCTTCACTGAGCCTCAGTTTCCTCATCTGTAAAATGGTCATGACAACAGCATCATAGAGTAGAGCTGAAGCTGAAACAAGCACCTGTCATGTAGAAAGCACCTGCAAAGGCCCACCACAGGTACTACCTTCAGAAAACACTTCTCAGGTAAGGGTGAGACATCTCCAACTCCTGGACTGGCCCCAGCTCACCCTTTTCCCTAATCATATATCACCTGGGGATCCAAGGGAGCTGCTCTGCTGTGAGTCCGGTGTTCCTGGCTGCCAAGTAGGAAACCGACACCCATCTCCCCGCCAAATCAAACTCCGTTGAGTCCTTCTTGGAGGTGAAATGGAGGATGCTCAGCAGGACAGGCCCTGGCCAGACTCGTTGGAAGCAGCCACCCAGGTCTGAGGTATCTAAACAGGGTGTAACCTTGGCCCCCTTATTGGGGCCCCCACTTCCTGGTGCCAGCTCAGGAGGGGACTGAGGACATAGGACAGAGCATCCAAATTCACCAGCCTTCCACGCAGCAACGCATGCACCGGAAGCGGGGCTGAGGGCCCTGCAGCAGGGTGGAGTCAGGGCTGGGCCTTACCTCTGGTGGGGAGAATCAGGCCAACGAAGACCAGGAGACACAGGCGACCAAAGGGCGACATCTACAGAGCAAGCCAGAGCTGGGGTCAGCCATGATGTCAGTGAGGCAGGCCCAGGGCAACCCCTGGGGACCCTGCAGCCCCCTTCCTTACCCTGAGCAGGCACCTCTGGCTTCAGAGACCCCTGCCAGGGTCTTTGGCTGCGGGAAGGAGGGCCAGGGGGAAGGTCTCAGAAGTGGGGATCGCCAGCAGTCACTCCCTCTTTCCCTCTGCAGGTCCCCAAAGAAAACAAGAAGCATCAGACTAAACCAGGCTTCAAGTAGCAGCCACTGCACAGGGCTGAGAAGCACTCAAAGGCTAGACAGGACTGACCGTGTAGGGCAAGGGGAGGGATCTGGGGCACCGGAGGAGATCTGAGGACCTCGGTCCCTCCCTCTGGGGCAGTCCTCAGAGCAGAGAAGTCAGCTAGGAGGGGGAAAGAGGAAGAGTGAGTAATGCGCTCCTGATCTCAGAGGAAAAAGTGAGTTGGTGTTAGGGGCCTCCCTGCAGGGACAATAGAGCAGGATGCTGGGCAGATCTGGGAGGGTGAGAGGGATGGAGGGGAACTGGGGAGACTGAGGCAGGAGGAGAGAAGAAATGCCGCACACGGAGGTACTGGGGAGCCGGAGGGACAGGGAGCATGAATGGGGGGTGGGGGGCGGAGAGGCGCCAAGAAGATCGCTCTCTACCCACCTGAGCCCGGCCCCTGGGCAGAGGGGAGCGGACGGAGGAAGATCGGAGGAGAGACTCACGTCAGAGCTGGTGGTCCCGAGCCGCCGGCAGCCTCGTGCGGAGAGGGCAGCTGCAGTGGCTGAGTCCAGGCGGAGGGTGTGGCCAGGGGAGCGCTGGCGGGCGGGGACCGAGACGGGCTCAGTCATTTCCTCTTGGGTTTCCTGGCTTCAGAGCCCGGGGTGGGAGCAGGAGGGGGAGACGTTGAGGGCTATGGGGGGGCTGGGGTGAGAGGCTGGGCAGAGGCCTCCACCCCCCGGCCTAGGGGAGGGTGGGGGTGGGGAACAGCAGGGCGGGCAGGTCTGGGCGGGGTGGGGCTCCTGTGGGGAGGGAGGGAGAGCGGGGGAGGGGTCTACTCTGGGGTCTGGGTATGAGAAGGGAAGGGGCAGCTGGGGCGGTGGCGCTGAGGGAAGGAAGGGAAGCTTGAGGGGCTCTGAGAGAGAAGGCGGCCACTGTGGCACTGCGGGAGGGGAAGGAGAGGAAGGGGGAAAATCTGGGGATGGGGGAGACAGCTCCCCAGCTTCAGCTTTGTCCCTTCCCCAGTTTGGTCCCCACAGATGAGAACACACAGACAGAACAGGGGGAAAAACCAAATGCACATTTATTAAGCTCAAGACATAGACGCTGAGGGTGCGGGGAGCAGGGAGGTGCCGGGGAGTAGCACACAGGGATTGTGGGGGGCTGAGGGTGGACTCCCGGGACCCCAGGAGCTGGAGGCCTGAGTTCCTGGGTCTGGGATGCAGACGGGCTCTTTGGGGGGTCGTAATTGCCAAGGCCTGGGGAGGTGCAGCGGCTCCAGCCTTGGAGTAGGTGGGACGGCTCATTCAGAGGAGCGCTCCCTGGGCAAGGCTGGGGTCCCCACCGCCTCCACCCGGTCCTCAGGCTCCCGCAATCAGGCAGGGACAGTAGTGGAGGTGACCAGGGCTGGTCTACACGCCGCCACCTCCAGGGGCTGGGGTGAGAGGGAGTGAGAGAGAGAGAGAGAGAGCCATGGAGCTTCAGTGGGCAGCAAGAGGGGTGGAGGCAGCCCCCCGCCACACACTGCCAGGGCTCCTTCATGGAAGTCAGATCTCCAGACTGTCACCCTAGAGCTAGCCCTGGGAAGTTGTCTTGCCTCCCTGCATCCTAATATCTGGTCCATAGAGGGACACCTTTGGGGCTTTTGTCCTGTCCCACAGGACACTGTCATGAGAGGAACACATCTGTGATGAGGCCGAAGACCCCTGGCCCAGCCTGGGCTTTTCTGTGGTGTCCCCCCACCAGAAAAGGAGTCTCCATCCCTCTCCCATGCTCCCAACGTCCTCCTATACCCCCATTCCGTCCTTTCCAGCACACCATCTCTGGAACATTTGGATACAACAGGAATTCCTATGCCTCCCACCCACTTGGGCCCATCATTCAAGTGGAATGGGTGAGAATTCTGTACATATTCTTAGACTGTGGCCAGGTACCCAGGCCAACCGTACCCCCCCATCATCCACAAAGTGATCCATTAATGTTCTTAAATCTCATTAAATAAACATGAAACTAAACACATGAAATTCCACATCAAATCCTCCAAATATGGAGTACCCCAAGCCCATTTTTTTAGTTCTAAAAACTCTATAAGAGGCAGAGTTTCCCATCTCTGATTTTTTAAAAGTCCCTGGAAAGGACACAGTTCCACTAAAAACAGGTCGAGATATTTTTACATAATTAAAATTAACACCCCCAAGGAGTCACAATCTTTCATCTACATGCTTATCCCCCCTCCTACATCCTACATCTATCCACCTGCACTCACTCTCCCCCCTCCCCCTCCCCCCTCCACCCTCCCCCCTCCACCCTCCCCCCTCTCCCCCTCCACCCTCCACCCCCCCTTCACCCCACCCCCCCCCACATTCCACCCTCCTCCTCCATTCTCCACCCCTTCTAGAGACTCCTTCCCCCTCTTCCTCTATCCCCTCCTGCACCCTTCACCTCCTCTTACACCCCCATTCTCTTCACTCTTTATCCTATACTTTCCATCTTTCCAGCCTCACACTCATATTCTCTCCTCTATTGTCTCTTTTCCAATATCAGTTTTTTTGTTTTTTTTTTTTTTGCGGTACGCGGCCCTCTCACTGTCGCGGCCTCTCCCGTTGCGGAGCACAGGCTCCTGACGCGCAGGCTCAGCGGCCATGGCTCACGGGCCCAGCCACTCCGCGGCATGTTGGGATCCTCCCGGACCGGGGCACAAACCCGGGTCCCCTGCACCGGCAGGCGGACTCTCAACCACTGCGCCACCAGGGAAGCCCTCCAATACCAGTTTTTAAAACCTGTATTCTGTATGTCTCTCTTTTTGTCTTTTGATACAATTATTCACAAGCCTTCCTTCCTTCCTTCCTCCCTTTTTCTCAGCCATTTCATCCTAGATCTTCCCAACTGAACACTAAAGTCTGGAAAACATTCTATCTTCCTGCCTTCTCTAGTGCTCAACTCTGCCTTCATTCTGACTGCCAACATCCTTTTCCCATGTGGACCCCTCTCTCCACAGGCTGTGGCTTTCTCATCTGGGGAATTAGTTCATCCTTGCTTTTATGAGCTTAGGTACTTGTTTCTGGGCAGTTTCAAGGACGCTTTAGGACATTTCACATCCCGCTAACTTCATGTTTTAACATGTTTGATCGGCAGGGTCTCAGCTCCATCGTTGGTGGCCCCATTCTTAGGGACATCCAGTGCAGTTTCCCCTCTGACTCCCCTCCCTGCTCCCACCCATCTTCCCAGAACCACACCCTTTCCCACCCTCACCTGAGGAGGGAAGCTCCGACTTACAGGATTTGCATGTTGGGCTGTGGAAGCAAAGATGAGAGAGAAAAGCATAAACAGGCTCATTTGCGCAGGCTTTCTGGGAAACACCTGGCAGGCCCCGGGGGCCCTTTTGTTTGGCAGCCCCCCTGCGCCCCAGGCCGCTCCCACCCCTCCCCGTCTCTCCCCGCTGCTGCCGGACCTCTCAGACCTGGAGTCCGCCTTCCTGCACTTCATCTTCTTGCCTGTTAGGACAGAGACAGAACAGAACAAGGAGACAGGACATAAGGGTCTGGACAAAAGCCAGCAGGGGAGCTGCAGGTGCCCAGGGCTTTGGAGCCCGAGAAGGGGCCACACTTACTGACGATGATGAGGATGCCCAGCAGGAACAATATGGTAGCCAGAGTCATGCCCACGGTCTGGACGGTATCATAGTCTGGGGAAGATATCGGAGGACATCAAAGTGGGGGCAGCACCTCAGCTCCCCTGGAGCCTTGGCCTGGGTTCAAGGCTGCAGGCTCCTCCAGTGGGTCAACGTGAGGATCAAGTGCATGGCCTTGGGCGTTGGGCGCTCCCCTTAACCTCTCCTCTTTACCCTTCTCTTACCCGTCTCTGGATTGTTTGGCCACAGATATAGATAAAGATATGACCTTCCTCTATTGCATATATATATATATATATATATATATATATATATATGTATATTTTTCAGCAAACAACCTTCTCTGTGGTCTCTCTGTCACCCATCCCCCTACTCAACCCTCCAGCCATAGGGATCCTGTTAACACCTGAGTGTGATCAGGGTCTTCCTGAGTTCAGAGCGCACCACTCCACCCCCTCCAACTTCCACTGCATTGCAAGGAAAAGCCAAAGTCCTCCCCACAGCCCATGAGGCCCTGTACCATCTAGTTCCTATGCCTTCCTATGCCTTCTCAGAGCTCATCCCCTACTCCAAGCACACCAGTCTCCCTGCAGTTCCTGGAGCCTATCAGGCATGGTCCTGCCTCAGGGCTTTTGCACTTGCTGGGCCCTCGGCCTGAAAGCTCCTCCCCCAAATATCCCTCCCTTACCAACTTCTGGGCTTTATACAAATGTTAGTGACACATTCTCTGGCTGTCTCATTTAGAATTTTCCATGCTCTCCTCAACATTTCCTAATCTCATTCTTTCTTTTATTTTCCTTCATAAGAATTATTCTTTAGTATGCTGTAGTAAACATTTATAAAGCATCCACTCCGTACCAGCAGCAGCCCAGGCCCCTGCCCTCAGGGAGTTGTCGTTCATATTGTGATAAACAAAAGAAAACCAAAAACCTCAGTCATGTGACCATGGCTAGATGTGGGTGTAGCCCCTCTTGCTGGGGAGTCAGGAGGGCTTCTGCTAGTAGACAGTCATTATTTGATCTGAGGCCTGAAGAAGAAACAGGAGCTGTGTGGAGAGCTAGAGGAAGAGTATTCTGGCAGAGGGAACAGTAAGTGCAAAGGCCCTGAGGCAGGAAAGAACTTGGCGTATGGAGAAGTGGTATGAGTGAGCAATGGGAGAGGGCAGGAGGGTATATAGAGAGGGAACTGGGGTCAGTTCTGCTAGACCTGGAGTCATTTCTTGAGCTTCAGTGCTGTGGGGAAGATTTAATGATATCATCCGAGTAACTCTTTCCCACAGTCCTTATAGGTAGGAACCATTACTATTCTTTATTTACAGAAGGGCCCAGAGAGGCAAAGTTTCTTGCTCAAGGCCACACAGCTAGTGAGTGGATAATCCAGGATTCAAATCCCGACAGCCTGGTGTCAGAGTTGTTTGCTTCTCTGATGATCCCAGTGCACCAGCCCAGAGTGCTGGTGAAGCCTAAAGAGGGTCCATAGAGGGTACCCCCTCCCCAAGTCTGACTCGGCCCTCCATGAGCCCAGCTGATGTGAATTATATCCACATGGACACATGGCCAGTGGGCCAGCACGTAGCGTGTAGCCATAGCTGAAGCCACTTCAGCAGTGACCCATGGGGATCTACAGCCACCCCTCCATCCAGCCCCAGGGTACCCTCATCACAGGATCTGCCACTCACCGTAGTAAAATGGGTCAGGTTCCTGAGGAACTGTGGCAAGAAGGCAGAGAAAGAAAGAGAGGGGGAAAAAGATTTCAACAATGAGCTTCTTAACATTTTTGAGGATCCTGATGGGGCCACTGGTCCAGTGGTTTCTGTGTAGAAATCAGATAATGAGACCTCTTGCTCTGGATGATGTAGCCTCATGGCCAGACACAAAGCTTAAAGAGAGGAGCATAGGCTGGATTCCAGCCCCCACTCATTCCATTGGTCGATACCTTCCCTTGTACAGTGTACAACCTACCTAACCATACGTGGCGGTCCTGGTCCTAGCCCCCCACGGAGGTCTAATGCAAGCATGGGCTCATTTCCTGAAATACACATATATACTCCCGTTTGCATACGACGCTGAGACTCCTACCCCGCTGCTGAGTGGACGGCTGAGTGTATCGGCTTCCCCGAACACTCCCTGAGACTTCTCAGCCATCTGAGAGCTCCAAAAGGCAGGCACTGTGGCTACTGCTCTCATCCACTTGCTCCTGACACCAAATCCAGCAGAGCAGAGATGTCCAAAATTTTATATTATTATATCATACTATATTATATATATATCCTATATTACTTATTTCTCAGACATCAATTTAAAGATTCAAAATTGACTTTGTAATAACTTCCCCAGTGTGTGTGTATATGCATGCATATGTATGTAGCTGTACCACATAAAACATACTCATCCATTGGAAGACTCACTCTGATTTCATAAATGTTAACATGTGGATAAAACGTGTGTGTGTCTGTGTGTCTGTGGATTTACTTTTCCCCAGCTCCCACCTCCCTGTCTCAAACTATATTCCCCTTCAGGAGAGCTCAGAACATCCTTCCCATTCAAGAAACCCATCCTGATGCTTCCCTAATTCCTCTGACAGCTTTTAGTACACTCTGTCTTGATTAGAGCACAATTCTGCAAAACAAGCACCACTAGGGGAGTGGGGGTGGGGGTGGGGTATCAGGAGTGCCAGGGAGATGCCAGATGTTGTCATTAATGTTCTTCCCCTATCCAGGCTCAGGAAGGCTGGCTACCTTGAGGTTGGGAAGGGGGACATATGACTAATTCAGGCCAATGAACTCTGCAGCATTTAAGTGCCCATGCAAGAGCTCTCTTTTGCCTTTGGCCTGGTGATATGAATGCTCAAGATCGTGGCTTCTCCAGTTTTCTTTGGTGAGTAGAGACCCCCCAGTTGACCTGTGGTGGCCATATAGTCTAAATGAGAAATCTACCTTCATTGTGAGAAGCCACTGAGATTTTTTTGTTACCACAGCATACTCTAGTTTAAACTGACTCATGCAGGTGGCACCCAGGCAAGACCCTGATTAGCACTGACTCACAGTGTGTAAGTTCACCCTTCTCAGTTCCCTGTCCAATCTTCAAAGAGCAAGTCTTAAATAGGAGCTGATGTGACTCTACACTTTCCAACCCTTGTTAATCTCCCAAGATAAAACAGGCCTTGGGTTCAGGGCCTTCAGCAGGCAACAATATCTAAATAGACTGTTATGACGTTATTTGCTTTTCTCCTTTATTTATTTATCTAAGCAGCATTTGATGGCACTGAGTCCATGCCAGGCTCTCCTCTAAGCACTTTACAGATATTAACACAGTTATCTTCACAGCAGCTCTCTGATATAGGCGCTATCTTCATTCTCATTCCACAAAAGAGGAACACTGAGGCTCAGAAAAGTGAAGTCACCTGTTTAAGATCATTTTAATACTTGCCTTCAATGTAAGACCAAAAAAACAAAAATTCCTGATTTTCCATTTGTGGTGGTAGGGTAAAATAAAGCTAACAAAGTTTTTTAAAAGTTAATTCTTTGAAGGAAAAATGTTAAATAAATATCAGTGTGGGGAACATTTGGACAGGGCAAAAATCATGAAGGTGGTACTCATAAGCATCAGATGGGGAAAACATTATTTTAGAGTCACCTGTGCTTTGTCTCAGCTCCCCCACCAGATGGAGAGTAAATTTATTGGATTCATCTCTACTGTTAATCCTGGCATTTATAAAGTTTTTCAAAGAAGTTTTCTAGAATGAATGGATGGATGGATGAATGAATGAATGAGCTCCTACTAGGCTGCTGGGAGACTGCATCAGAGGTGGAGCAGTTGAATTATCCTGCTTTTGTCTCCTGTGCTTCCACACATCCTGCTTCCCCAAACCATCACAGAAGCCCAGTGGGTGAGCGCCTGCCCCAGAGTCCTCTTTGGTTCCTCCCTGGGCGCTCCTTGCTCCATGCAGAAGTTCCTCTTCTGGTCTCTACTGCCCCAGCAATCTGGGTCCTCAGGACGAGGCTGAGCTAAGGGTGGAGCCAGGAGGCAGGAGAAGGAATGTGCACCACTCCTGGCCAGTTGCCAAGGAGACATCAGGAAGGAGGTGGTTACTATGGCAACTGGGGCATCTTGAGAGGTGAAGAGAGTTGATGGGTCTGGGTACCCCAGGCTGGATAGGGTCCTGTGTGGGACTTGGGGGTTGGGTTTCTAACTCTGGGGCCAAACTTGACTGCCTCTGCTCCCTTTGTACCTCCTGTTGTTGCCTCTGCAGGACTGGCTTCTGGCCAAGCGGAGGGTCCTTCTTAGGGATAGGGACCCAGGCCCAGCTGTGCTCCTGCATCTTCTTTTCCCTCCTGCTCTCTGATGGGGTGGGGGATGGGGGGATGCGGGAGCCATCCCCCACCCCAAAACAATCCATTCATTCATTCATTCATTTCATTAAGTGGTTTGCAACAGGCAACATGCATTTCCTCCCCCGGGGTTTCCCAAGACCTGTGGTCCCCTCTCCTGCTGTGACTGGAGAAAGGGTGTGGGGAGGTGGAGGCATCTGTCCTCCCACCTCTGCCCCGTCTGCTGCCATCGATCTTGCTAACCACCATCTCCGCGAAAGGAAGCACTAGGCTCCCGCCAGGCTTGCTGCCTCAGCCCTGCCCCCTCTCCCTAGGGTGGCTTCCAGCCTCTGCAGCCGCCCCCCCACCCCCACCCCCCCGCCCTGCTTCAAATTCTGCAGATATGGCTCAGTGCAGCAGCCCCCACCTCCCAGGAAAGCGGGCAGGGGAGGAGAGATCAGAGTGGAATTGGGGTTCCCTTCACTTGCCAGAGGTTCCTCAGCACTGCTGGCCTCTCCCCTGGCCCTGCTCTCAGCGCAAGAGACCCTCCCTTGCCCACCTCTCCCCCACCATGGAAGCATCCTTCCCCTTGCCCCTCTGCAGAAGCAGGCTCAAGAAAGGGGGCTGTTGGGGGGGGTCAGTATTTCGGGGGTGCATAATTGGGCTAATGGTGTGAAATGTAAATCTCTGTGTGGGCGATGGAGGTAGGGAGGGGCATCTGTGTGCACACCCAAGTGCACCTTTCGGACCAGACAACACCCCGAATGTGGGCTGGGAAGGAGGGTCCTGACACCCATCCCTGCCCATGGGGGCTCACTGCAGTGGTACGGGCCCCACCCTGTGCCACCCCCCCCTTCTCTTTTCCATTTCCCTCTCACGCTGTGGGGCCATCTCTCTCTCTCTCCCCCTCTGTGTCTTTATGCCTCCCTCTCCATAGTTGCCTCAGTCCCTCTATCTCTCAGTCTCTATCTCTTTCAGGCTCTCGGTCAGTCTCTTTCTGTATTCCTTTCGGTCTCCCTCTCTCTTGCTCTCTCTGTCTCTCTCCATCTCTCTCTCACTTCCTCCAGCTCCTATCTTTCCCTCTTTCTCCCTGCTTCCCACTGAACCTGCCTGTCAGAGATTTCAGGAAACACCCACCGTAGGTGCCAGCACTAGAAAAAAGAGAGGCATATGGACCCCCTCCCCTTACCCTCCTGAAATCTGCGAGAACCTCTGTGGCTGCAGATCCACCCGCTCCCACCTTCGAAGCCCATCTCTTCGAGTCCACTACCACCGCTGTGCTGGACCAGCCACCCGGTTGCTATAGCTACCGGTCCGAGCATCCTTTCTCCCGGGACTGCCGCTCTCCAACCACGGGTCCCGCACAGGAACGACACCACCGGGAGAAGGTGTCCAAGAGGCCTGGAGGGGTGCCAAGGGGTGCACTGCAGGGGCCTCCGCCCATGGTAGGAAGGGACATCCCCTTCCCCATTCCCCTCCCCTTCCAGTACTGGAATCTCCCCAGATCCTCTCTCCTAAGCTCTAAGATCCCGGAGCCCCCCTGCGCCCTCTCCACAGGCGACGCTCACCCTTTGTGGTGACCTGGGTCGGGGTCGCCATGCCAAGCCGGAGCAGGGGTCGGCTGGATGCCGAGGCGGTGAAGGCGCGGCTGCAGCAGCTGGAACCGGGACGGACTGTTGTCGGGGGGAGATGGGGGGAGCCCTGGTGTGGAGGGGGCCGTAGCCAATGGGGGCCCGGAGAGCCCGCCCCCGTCCCGGCCACCCCCGCCCCCGCCCCCGCCCACTGCCGACGTCCCCGCCCTTTCCCCAAGGGTGGGGGCGCCCTCTGCCGGGGCCAAGGGGGCGCCCAGGCTTTCCGCGCGAAGGGACTGACAGATCCACACCGCTCTGTCAAGACAGAAAAGCACGTTTTATTGGAAATCTGAGCGGCAGACGGGAGTCTGTGGGGGCAGGGCTGGGAAAGAGGACAGTCCAGATGGAGGTGGGCGCGCGGAAGGTGGGTGGGAGGCGTCAGGTGCCAGGGGAATTCTATGCGGGTGAAAAGGGTAAGAGGCAGGAGAGCCCTCCAAGCCCCCTATCCCAGCCCTTCGCCCCCTCCTCCTCCCCCCTCCCCCCTCCAGCCTAGTCAGAGCTGCAGGACCTGGCTGGCTTCCATCGCACCAGGTGTCTCTACCGCCTGCGGGTGGACAGACCTAAGGGGGAACACATAGAGTTCGGATAGCAGGAGGGGCTCCCCAGCTCCTCTGGAAGGTGGGAGCACAGCAGGGCAACTCCCCGACCTCGGGTTTCAAATCAAGCCCCCCGCTCCACGCGCCCACGGAGGACCAGGAAAGGGGTTCTTGGGACCAGCTTGCATCCCCAAACACACGAAGTCTCCCCAAACTCACGGCGGATTGAGCTGCGGAAAGTTCCCTCCTCTTCATCAGGTTCCCCAGTCCTGAGAAAGGAGATGCAGAAGGAATTGGGGATGGAAAAGGAGAGAGGCAGCTCTCACCCGGGAAACCCCAGTGCGGCCCCCATTTCACAGACTTGTGTACTGAGACCCAGAGATGGGCGAGGCGCAGGTTCCAGGCCGCCAGAAAATCCAGTGCACCCAGGAGCAGTTTAAGTGTTTGGCAGGAGGCGCTCCAAGCCGGTAACAGAGAGTACCTCCCCGAGTGCTGGAGAAGGAACTAGAATTTGGAAAGGAGGTATAGCCAAAGCGACTTGAGGGCAGATTGCCTGGAGACGGCCTAGGTTAGAAACCTAGAGCCTTCATCTTGCAGTTGAGCGATTTGGGGCGTGTGACCACCTTCCTGTGCCTTGGTTTCCTCATCTGTAAAATGAGGTTAATAAAAGCACCTGCCTTATAGATATGGTGTGAGGGGTAAATAACACATCATGAAACAGCATCCTGCATGTGGGACACACCCAATAAATACTACCTTTATTTATAATAACATCTACAAGTATCTTAATACCGACAAGGTATTCATACATTGCCTGGGCTTTACATTTTTATTTAAGGATGAATCAGAGAGCTAGAAACAGGACTCCGAGCTAAACTGGGCCGCCAAGTGAGGTGATCTCATTTCGCCGCGGCTCTTTCTTTCACGGCACTTACGGCACTTCGTGATTTTATATTTGTGGGTCTGTTGGAGCCCATCGCCACCGCCCCCACTGGGCCGGACGCTCAGCCAGGCAGGGAGGGCAGTTAATTCGTGGCTTGGTCCCAAGGCCTGGCTTGGGGCTGGGCACGTAGTAGGTGCTTGATACATATTTGCCGAGGGGTCTCTCTGGCTCTGGATTGAGTGGACTTCCGGCCTCACCCCCAGTGCTCCTTCAGAGCGGGAGTAGATGAGTGAGAGCCCAGAGAGGCTTCTTACCTCTGCTGCTGGTTGAATTTGCACCGGCATCTTCTGCCTGTGGGTGGGGGCGTGGGGAGGAGTGAGCTGAGATTACGCTCTACGCGGCACAGCGAGCCAGAGCTCGCGCTCGCCAGGGCTGGAGCGGCGCGGGGGATAAGGGTGGGGCAGGGACAGGGGGGTGCTGGGCCTGCAATAGAGACGCGGCTGGCCCGAGGGAGGAGTAGAAGGGGCAGGGCGGAGCCTAGGGCAGGGAAAGGGGAGGGGCAGAAACAGGGGCGGGGCCGTAAACGGGGCGGGCCCGGGGGCGGTGATAGAAGCGGGGGCGGGGCCGAGGGCGGAGTAGAAGGGGCGGGGCCTAGAGCTGCGATAGGGGAGGGGCATAAACAGGGGCGGAGCCGAGGGCGTGAGGCCGGGGGGGGGCAGAAATAAGGGCGGGGCCAAGGGCTCTGATAGGGGCGGGGTTGGAGGCGGAGCGGGGACTGGACGGGGTTGGGACAGACACCCGCAGATTCGCCGCAGGGGTCTCGGTAGGGGTACTCACTCAAGATGATGAGTATGCCCAGGATGAAGAGGATCCCGGCGATGATGAGGCCTCCGATCCGCAGGGATTGGTAGTCTGTGGGCAGCAAGGAGGAGCGTGAATGCAGGGAGGGGAGGAGGAAGAATAGTAGAGGGACAGAATGGGGAGGAAGGGGCAAGGAGGAAGGATGGGGAAGAGGAAAGGAAATCAATGAGAGGAGGAGGGAGAGATGTGGGAGAAGGGGGATCAGGGAGAAGAGAGGATGTAAAGAAAAGGGAGGGGAGGAGGTGGGCAAGGCAAGGAGGAGGGAGGAGACAAGGGAGTAGGGAAGGATGATGGTGAGGATCAGGGAGAGGAGAAAGGCAGGTGGTAGCAGAGGATGAGCCATAAGATGCTAAGAGGTAAAAGGAGAAAGATTCAGAGATACAGAGAGGGATGAAATAGACAGAGACCAACAGAGAGACAGAGACAGAGGGAGATCAAGACAGAACGAGTCGGAGAGCCAGATCAAGAGAAAGAGAGAGAATGAGAATGACAGAGACATAAACACTGAGAGTCTAGAGAGAGATGGAGACAGAAACAGAGAGAGGTGGGGGGAGGGGAGGAATGAGGAGAGGACAGGCGAACCCAGCCCAGCACCCCCTAACTCCCAAAGAAAGGTGCCCCTCCCTCCCTCACCATAGGTGAATGGGTCGTGTTCCTGTGGAGCTTCTGGAAAGAGAGAAAGAAATCAGGGTCGGATGCTTCCTGGGATCCTGGACAAGGAGGGGCATAACGAGAGCTTTTGGGGGTTTTACATTCCTGGGCCGAGAGTCTGGGGACTGCTGGACCCTGAGCAGGCTGCCTACCCTCTCTGGGTCTTAGCTGCCCCGCTGCACTGTCCTGGGCGGAGCAGCAGGCACCTAACTGCCTCAGCTCTCCATCTCATTACAGGTTGTCTCTGATCCCGTCATTCACAGACCTCCATCCCGCCCTCCACCTTTGCCACACCTGGGGCATCCTCTCCCCTCCCCCAGATACCAGCCTGTAACTGAACCCCACGTGAGACTCCAATTTCCTGGTGCCTCAACTGACTCAGTTCAGATTGGAGTCTCCAACTTGTTTCTCTTGCAGGGTTTCCCCTACCCTTGCCACCCTTGGGGCTGAAGTGGGTAGTGGGCTGCCTTCCCCGGACTCACCTGCGTTGACCATGGCGAGGAGACCCACACAAAGAACCAAGATGTGGCTGAGAGATGCCATTGTCCTGGGGGACAACAAGGGTCAGGAAACCTGTACCCTCATTCCCCCACCTTTGGGGCCTGAACTCTCTTCAGGGGACTGTCTCTGTTAAGTCAGAGACAGTCCAGGGACTTAATATCAAAAGCGTCCATCATCCAGGTTGGTCACCCTGAGAAACAGAGGCACCCTCCTGCTTCACTAGGACACAGCATCACGAAAACAACCCACACCATGGGGGTCACAGAGCAGCAAGGACAGGGGTGAGACACACACACAGTCCACAGGGACCTCCCGCGGGCCAGGGCCGTCCCCACAGCAGGCCCCAGATTCCCCATGCCTACCCTGGATGACTTGCCCCACCCAGATGGAGAGACAGACACACTGCCAGGGAAGAGGCAGCCAGGACATGCCCAAGGGCCCACCTGCCCGTACACCACAGCCTCACCCTGTCCGTAATATCCCAGCTCTCCTGCCCTCAGCCGCTGGCCCGCTCTTTGCCTGACCCTGGGTATAAATATCTCCCGTTTCACCCTGGAGGAATTTGCCTCGCACAGGCCGCCATGGCAACAGCCTTCCTCCCCCCCCTTGGGGGTCACTCACAACCCTGCCCGGGTGAGGCTGGGCTGCCACATTGCCATGGGCTGCCCCCGTGGGAAAGGCCACCCCTTCTCCTCTCCTGGAAGAGATGAGAACAGGGAAAACGTCCCCTTTGCCTGCCTCTGGGTGACATCTTTCATGAACGGACAACGCCAGGCGAGTGACCTGAGGCCCAGGCCAGTGGGGCTGAGAGACAGAAGACAGATGCCAGGGGCAGGAACGCACGCACACATGCACACACGCGCGCACACACACACACAGTGGGGCTGGAATGGAGACGACGCCCACTCCCTAAACTTCTGGTTGGAGCAGGACATGGGGTGGAGACCCAGGCACACGTTACTCCTTATCTGGGCCTTCTGCACCCCCAAACAATGACGCAGCCCGACCTACACCCTACACACGTGAGCGTCCAAAACCCACACCCAGCCAGGGTGCACGTGCCACAGCAGGAGCAGGGAGGAGCTGCACCCACACTTCCACCCCTGGGAGAACCCCAATGTCCCAACCACACTCCCTTCCTCTTGGGTCTGGCCTGCCTGGGAAGCCACTCCTGTTCCCAAAATAGGCGGCCCAGCCAGGCCAGGGGTGAGGCCTGGAGGGGAGGGGCAGGGGACGCTCACCCCAGTCAGGCTGTCCCCTGCCGAAAGAAGGCCCCCAAACGTCCGGCTGTGCCCTGGGGCCGAGCACTTTGGACCCCCTGGCCCAGAGCTGGCCGCGCTGCCCTCAGCCGTCTCCCCTCCCCGCCCCACCCCACCCCTACCCTCCCCAACCGGCAGCTGTAACTGGAGCCGGGCTGGAGGGGGGCCAGGGGGCGGCCCCCAGCCCAGACCGCCCTGGCCCGCTAGGTTAACTCTCTCAGCTCAGAGGGAGGAATCGTAGGCAGCCAGCCGTGGGGAAAGCTGGGGAGAAGAGGTGCCGGCAGGGAGGACTGTATTACAGGCGCACAAACACACACACACACACTCACACGTGAGCCTCGGGCGCACTTCAGAGGGCTTCGGAGCTGGGAGGGCAGGGTGGGTGTCAATGATTTTCCACGCTGCTCCCTGGGAATTGGGCCCAGCCTGGGCTTAAGGTCACCTGGCCTGAGTGCCTAGGAACCCACTGACCCCTGACCCCAGGGTCCTGCGGGGCCCTCGTCAGCGCCACAGGGCTGTTTGGAGGGCACTTCAGCGTGTATGTAGGTTGTCTTCTACTGACTGTGAGGTCCCCCAGGGGTACACACACACACACACACACACACACACACACACACACACACACAGAAACCCAAAGACCTGGATAAACAGGCACAAAACAAGACAAATACATGCATGTACATACATACAAATTCAGAATGACACACCCATAGAGAAACCCAAAGACACTCACCAGCACTTCGTAACCAGTCACAAAACACCAAGACAAACACATTTGTATACACACAAAACACACACGTGTTCATTGAGATGAATGCCCGTATAGAGGCACAAAGACACAACCACACAACTGTGCACTCTTACAAATGGTCACAGAGATACACACTCTTGCAAGGACAATACTGACAAATGTCTGTACAGAAACACACTAAACACAAATACATTCAAAGGCACCGCCACAGCCAGCACTCCTACACGATCTCAGGCATGTGAAGGCACACAAACTGTGTACATTTGTACACAGACACACACACACATTTATGTGGGCTCATGGAGAAGCAGAAACACTGTCAAGGACACAGGCATACAACCAACCACGCTGTGGTTTCATAACCATAAAAACAGACAGACACACACACACACACACACATCCCCATGCACCGGCAAACAGGCACACAGCTGGTCATACAGTCGCAGACATACAGGCCTACGCTCTGTGTTCACACACTTGGAGACACCACCAAATGTGCGCTGATGTGTTTACCCAGAACCTCCCCGTCCCTGAGCTCACGTGACCCCTAAAACCCCCTGGAGGACAACACACCTGGCATCCTCATGGGCAGACCAGGTTACCAGGCGCTGGTGACAGAGAAAAGGGGGATCAGCTCTGGGCTCTGCCATTCCTAGTTGTGAGAGCTCGAGCAGCCCAAGAGACCTCTCTGTGCCTTGGTTTCCCATCCTACAAAATGGATAAATCATTAAGGTAATATGTATCACCCTGGGCCAGGCTCAGAGGTCTCTGAACCTGACATTGTCGTTTTTAAAAATATGTATTTACTTATTTATTACTATTTATTTGGTTGCGCTGGGTCTTAGTTGCAGCTCAAGAGCTCCTTAGTTGTGGCACGTGGGCTCCTTAGTTGTGGCATACAAACTCTTAGTTGCGGCATGCATGTGGGATCTAGTTCCCTGACCAAGGGTCGAATCTGGGCCCCCTGCATTGGGAGCTCAGAGTCTTAAGCACTGTACCACCAGGGAAGTCCCCCTGATGTTGTCTTATTATAAACTCCATTTTAGATATCTGCAAACCAAGGTTTAGCAAAGTGGAGATAATTCTCCCAAGGTCCCTCTGGTGGTTAAGGACAGAAACTGCCCCCACCTGAAAGAGACCTGGGCCCAGATACCACACTCTGCAGGACACAGATCAGGAGCAGGTAGACGGCTCACACCCAGGCACAGGTGGCCCTGACACACACACACACGCACGCACACACACGCGCGCGTGCGCGTGTGCACGTGGTCTCAGAGGACCCCGGCAGCTTCAAAAGTCTCCCTCATGAGCCTCTGCCCCTTGTGGCCCTATACCCCAGTCACCAGCAGTCCCTGGTTAATGATAACCCTAATATTTATGTAGCCCTGGGGAGGGATGACAGAGGAGCAAGGGGGGCCAGCAGGGAGGGGGGCACCTGGCTAGCTCTAGCCAGTGCTGGGGTCCCTCCCCTCACAGGGCCAGCTGCTCCAGAGTGGAGAGGCCCAGCCATTTTCGGGCTGGGTGATGGGCCAATGACTTAACCTCTCTGTGGCTCAGTTTCTCCTTCTGTAGAATGGAAATGATAATACTATTCAACTCAGAGGGAGGTCAGGATGATTATCTGAAATGATCCATGGAAAATATTGAGAACAAAGCCTGGCACACAGTAAGTGATCACACACACACACAAAAAAGTAAGCTGTCACCATTATCATCCTTGTCATTCTTCTCATCATAAACAGGAGGGAGAACGCTGCTGGGCTGAACACTCTGTGAGTATGGATTTAGGCCCATCTGTCTCCCCTCGGTGTCCCTGGCCCAAAGCTCTTTATCTATCTTTCTCAAAGACCCTGTAAAGAAGTTTATCATCCCTGCTTTATGGCTGAGGTAACAGAGACCTGAAGGGCCTTGCTCAAATCACAGAGATGTTCAGGTGCAGGACAAGCCCTTGGATCCAGAATCCACCCCAAGCTGTGGGGTGCCCACCCTGCTCTGAACACTCTCTATCCTCTCGGATAGAGAGGAGGAATTCTCTACACATCTGAGAAGTGGGTGACACGACTGCCCCATCTGACAGATGGGCAAACTGAGGATCAGGGATGACCCTGATCTGAGTGACCCCACCTGGTGTCAGGGGTGGTCACTTTTAATACTTTTAAAAAAATATTCAAGTTTAATAATTTACGCTTTACCAGTAAGACACACATTTCTACTTTTCTATAAAAGGTGTTAGTGGAACAGTCCTGAGTATGCCGACCCGAAGCTGACCCAACGTGGCCTGAGCCTCATCTGCCCGCAGCTTTGCCCGGTGCCCTCCAAAGCCCCGACTAGCCCGCGTGCCAGGCCCACCCCGTGCCCTGCTTCGTGACCGGTGACCCCTAGCTGGTGCTGTTAGGTCCCTTGTCCTCCAAGTGTTCTGGGTGTGTGCAGCAGTGCCAAGAGAGGCTGTGTGCTCTCCTCATGCCTTAGTTTTCCCATCTGTAAAGTGGGGGTTAATAATACTACCCACCTCAAGGGGTCGTTGTGAGGACTGAGTAAATTCATGTCAAGATTGATGCATAGTAAGGGCTCAGTGAGTATTATTACTACTACTTCAGATTGGGTAATATCACTTATTTATTTTTCTTATTTAATGAACAGAATCTATCCAAACTGCTAAAAGCTTAGTCCAAACGAAAACAGCCAGTATCCATGGGTTCTGATCTCCAAAGCAGGAATGCAAAATCATACTGGGAGACTGTGCAGCCAGCTGCCTGGGCTTGAGTCCTGGCTCTGCCCCAGCTCGATAACCTAGATCTCAAATGACCTGACCCCTCGCTTCAGTATTTCCATTTGTAAAATAGCCGTATGATATATTAGCCTCGGAGGGCTGTAGTGAGGTCAGCACGAGCTAGTAGATGAACTTGTAGGACGCGGCGTGGTACAGAGTCAGTGCTGAAGGAAGGGGATGGCCTCTTTATCATCCTTTTTCCCTCGGGTTGGCTCCCTACCCCTAAGTGAGTGGTGGGTACCCAAGGAGTTAATTTCGGGCAAAAGAGGTTGTGGGTTTGGGGCAGGGCCGCTGCCCTGCTGAGTGTCGCCACCAGAGGGAGCAGCTGGACTTGAGCTGGTCCCTCCAAGCCTGGGTGCCAGTGCCCACCCAGCCCTACTGGAGCCAGGGGAGGGGGCTGGCTGGGAGTGGCCACCGAGGCTCCAGCCCTTGGTGGTCTCTCCTCCCACCCCCCTCCTGCCTGCAGAGCCATCCGGTCCCCACCCAGGTGACAGCCTCCTCACACTCCGTGAGTGGGGTGGAGTGGGGAATCTGGGGAGGGGGCTGGCCAGGAGGGGCCAGGGCAGCTCCAACGCTCCGCGGCCCCTCCCCTCCCATGGGGCCCTCTGGCCCCTTCCCAAGGGCTGCTCTTCCTATGGCTTCTGACGCCCTCCTCCTTCTTGCCCTGCTTTGCCTGGAGCACCCGGTGCCCAGCAAGTCCCTTTCCCAAACCTCCTGGGAGAAGGGACGTGGGAGGAGGGGAAGAAACTTCCAAGGAGCTGGAAAGGGGGGGTAGGGAGACAGAAATAAAGACACCAGACAGAGGGAGACACACACACACACACACACACACACACACACACACACACACACTCAGACACACACAGAAAGAGAGGCCAACAGACAGAAGGAGACAGACAGAGAAAAAGAGAAACAGAGACAGAGAGACAATTCAGATAGAAATAGAGAGACCGAGATAGAGAGTGGGAAGCAGACTAACTCATGGAGTCAGAAGTATAAAAAGGGAGAGAGACAGAAAGACAGGGAAAGAGAAATAAACAGAAAATTAGACACCAAAGAGATACAGGAAGCAAAGCAGACTGAGGAGAGACCAAGAAAGAGGAGAGAGAAGCCAGGGCAGAGCGTGCCAGCAGGCGGCATGGAGGGCCACCTGGCATGGGAGATGTAGTGGCCGCGACCTGGGCCAAGCTGGGTGGGCAGAGAGAAGCCGGTGCCTCGGTGGAGGTCAGGGGGCATGGGAGGGGCAGGAATTCTGCTGCTGCTGCTGGCTGGGGTGGGCGTGGGGGGGACCTGGAGACCCCCAAAGGGAAAGTGTCCTCTGAGTTGCTCCTGCTCTAAAGACAGTGCCCTGTGTGAGGGCTCCCCGGACCTGCCCGAGAGCTTCTCCCCGACCCTGCTGTCGCTGTGAGTGTCCGGCCCTCTGGAGGCCTGAGGCTGCGGATGGGAGTCCTGGGACCCCAGGGGCTGGGGGTCAGGGTGCTGGCTCCCCAAGGAAACAGGGACCCATCAGGATCTTGGGAGGGGGGCAGCAAAGGATGTCGGGAGGCCTGAAAGGGGGCCTGCTGGGATTTGGAAAGGAG